ACAATAATGTGCTTTGTAATGTAGTGTTATGTAAAAAAAATGACTCACCAAGCCTATTCTTTAATTCTCACCCTCCACTTTAATACTCCACATTATCAGCTTATTCCCTGTCATGATTAAGGACATCGCGTGCAATAAAAACAGCTCTTTAATCTGTAAGGTGTCAAGGAAATGCTGTTTATGATACTCAACAACCTGCTTACTCACTGAAAGGAAAACAGAAGCCTAATGGCACTGACAATTCTCTTTTTCCAGGCAGGTGACACTGTAATAAACGCACTGGGACGCTACCCTGCGTGAATGTAAGTTGTTGTAATACTGCATATGTTTAGATTGTTTTGTGATAACGCTTCAATGTCAGCTAATACAGAGCACCAAATATAAGCTATAAGACTGCATAGCACCACTGCAGTCAGCTCAAACTAATTGTGGTAATCAGTTATAATAAAAAATATACTAATAATTTGGTCACTCAATCCATGACTGTTTGTGGGACTCCGCTGTGCGCAATTGGCTGCGGGGTTTGGCCCACAAAATATGCAGTCAATTCGCTTTACAGTATATTCTGTGAAGCCCTTTGAGACGTCTTGAAGTCCTGATAAGCAATGTAGGGTTATTATTATTAAATAATTCCTAATTGGTTCCTAGAATTCCCATTGTCAGGGCAAAATAGTTCCCAATTATCCTTTCAGGCATCAGCCTGCCTCACTTGATAGTACTCTCATCATGTCGAGCCTTTTGAATTCTCATAGACTATAGAAACTGCCACTCCAATATTGTACATGTTGTGTGCTGCATTGCTAAAGGTGCAGTCTTATCAAATTAAATATTAAACCGAGGTCCCATCTCTCTGTTCATGTGGACATTAAAGATCCCATGGCACTATTTGAAAAGAGAAGGGAGATTCTCTCTCCTGGTGTCAATCCCCTAAATAAAATTAATTATTTGTTTCACAGCTGTTTGTGAGACATTGCTGTGTGCAATTGTGCTGCTGTGTTTGCCTACCAATCCACAATCAATCCATTTCAGAGTAAATCCTGTGAAGACTTCCTTCTGATGTGATAAGGCACTATATCAAATGCAATAATTAATATTATTATGTGAAAAGAGAAGAGAGTTTCTTTCTCTCGGTGTCCTGACCAATCCCCCAGATAAAATCGGTCACTGACTTCATGACATTGTTGTACACAAATTGGCAACCATGTTCACCTACAAAATGAAGAGGCAAGATGGATACGATTTCAAATGGAAGGAGTATTACATTATAATTACAGCTTTTTAGATATCTATCTCGATTCCTCTTGGAAGTTAATATGGATCTTGCCTGGACCAATGCATCCAGTAGGGGATTCATATCCTAGCAACTCGGAGTAAAAATAATTGCTCCTAATCTTCCCCTTAGCTAATTATTTTAAATTGATGCCCTGTAGACACTGACTCACTTACCAACATATAACCAAATAACACATCAAGTCAAAAATTATAATAGTCATTGTTTACAGCACAGTTGCCCAATATGTTAACCACTAGCCATATGTGGTTATAATAATCATATATAGTGCTCTGAGATATTACCCTGTGTGGAGGACGCTACATAAGTGCAAGTTGTTGTGGTTGTGGTGTGTGTATATAATAATAATAATAATAGTGGAGTCCTGTAGCAGAGTGGTTAGAGCATTTGCTTTGCAAGCAAGAGACCTGGGTTCGATTCCCGGCGGGGTGAAACCTTGGGCAAGTTTCCTTACTCCACACGCCTGATAATAATCCCTCAAAAAACAATAATAAATTGGTCATTTCAATCCACGGCCATTTGTGGGATGCTGCTGTGTGCAATTGGCTGCCGCATTTCGACCACAAATATACAGTCAATTCACAGTGGTAGAAGTTTGTTAAATAAATATACATGTAAATACACCTGTATTGTGTATGTATGGCTTTTTTTTACTAAAATTGCTGCATGATACAGAAATAAGGAGAAACTGTTTCCTCTGGCAGCATTCAAGATAATGGCAAAAGAGCCAGAGGGGAGAATTTTTTTACCCAGAGTTGCTACGATCTGGAATGCATTGCCTGAAAGGCTGGTGTAAGCAGATTCAATAGTGGCTTTCAAAAGGGAATTGGATCGGGACATGAAAAGGAAAAAGGTGCAGGGCTTTGGGGTAAGAGCGGGGGAGTGGGACTAGTTGGTAGCTCTTTCAAAGAGCCAACACAGGCATGGTGGGCTGAATGGCCTCCTTCTGTGCTGTAAGATTCTATGATTCCATGTTGCTAAAATGGTGCTGCCGTAGCCACACCTGTGGCTAGCCAACGATTTTTATCGGCCATCACTGGTTTACAGGCATAAAACTGGGAAATCCAGTGTGCAGTAACTTCAATGTTTGATTACATTTAACACCAGATCCTTCAGCTCATCTACACATTACAAGGTTCTAATCAAAATTCTAATGTTGCAATTCCCTGAATCCACCAATCTATAACATCTAATACAACCTTACTCCAAAGACTTCAAAATCATTAACTGGACAAACTGCCAAGCCAAATGCCCTCTTCAAACATTCTGTTAGTTCCTGCTAAAGATTTTCCACTGCAGAGCTAGAATAATGGTGCAATGCCAACCTTTGTTAAGTGATGCAGGATCACAGGTACCTCTGGTTGGCTCAATAGCTGCAGTAACAGAGTTTGGACCAAACCATTTGAGCAACGTCGAAGGTAGGAGTGCCCCCCTGTGACAATGATCAAGTGGGACATCCACAAGAGCAAAATGTCCCATGTGATATTACAGCATGTTACCACATCTATCCCTCTGAATTTGTTTCTTCTCTATTGTTCACTTATATTTATTTCCTCCTTTTTGGGATACCGCTGTGCGCAATTGGTTGTCGTGTTTCGCCCACAAAAATAATCAATTCATTTTATAGTATATACTTTGAGACGTCTCAATGATGGGATAAGGGGCTGTAACAAATGCAAGGATTATTATTATTATATTTGGTCTCTGTCAACGCTGTGTGCCACTCACCATATCTTGGCAAAGAGAGATGGATAGGGTCATAGAGAAGTTCAGATAAAGAAAACCCTTTATTTAAAACCTCAGCTCTCTTGGCTCCCAACCCAAGCTCAGGTGCCCAGCCGGCAGTGTCAAGTGCTTTGAGACGTGCTTTCGAAGTGAAAAAAAAGGCACATAAAAATGTTATGTTTCTGGAAAGGAAACACAAAAATATTGCTTATGCAGCCTGCATACATTTGTCAAATAGGGCATCCATCCCTCAGCAGTGAAAAGGTTGGACCACCCTAGCATAAACCCCCAAAACATTCAAGCAAGAACATTTATTTTGTTGGCCGACTATAAAAGTGGCACACTATGTAATCTAAGGAATAGTTTCTTCAACTTAGAGGCATACAACAAGAATGCCAGAGGAATTGTAAAGTCACGTCACTGCTATGGGCTCTGTTGCTTGGTTACAGGGATGTTTTAAATGGAATTCCATGTTTAGTGTGATGCCTCCATTTATTCTGGCATGAAATCCCCTTCAGGAGAATATAGCTTTTTACTAAGGAATAAATCAGAAATTGAATTTGCACAATAATTTGACTCTGACATGTGAGAAAACAGCTTTGGGCCCAGGGCTTTCGGACTTCCTCCCGACGTGAAAGGTGCTCTATAAATGTAATTCTGTTGTTGTTGTTGTTGATATTCACCCCTCCAAGATGGCGTTTAAAAACAATTCATCCAAGAGAAAGCATGATGCCTAAGAAAACTTGCTTCATTGTTAACCCACCTTAATTATTCACGTAGTGTTAATGAAGCTCAAATTATTGACTGGAGTTGGAGATGTTGGCCCCAGAGCGCAGGGATGTTTGTGGGACACTGCTGTGTGCGATTGGCCTCCATGTTTCATCCACAAAATATATAGTCTTTACAGTAAGGAAACTTGCCTATGGTTATAAAGTTTATAAACCGTACCAAAGAGTTCTGAATGCAATATCCAGTCTGGTATCTTTGTCACCTGCTTTTCAGAGGACTATCAACCATCGATTCTAATCAGTTTTACAATGGGAACACTCAAACACAAACTAAACACAGCACCCCTAATGGGGAACACTGACATCAGAACGTAAAGCTACTGGTTCAAGCTTCAGTATTTCGTTAACACATTAGCAACTTCACTTATATAGCACCTTTCAATAGGGCTGATGCTGTAAACTCCTACATAGGAAGCACGTGGATAAAAACAAGACAATTTTAATAGAGTGATTCTCTGCACAATAAAGCACTTAAGGAGAAAGAAAATCAATTTGCAACCATGTCAAAGGACAACCAGCTCCAATCAGCATGCAGTAACAAGCAGCAAGTTCTGCACTTTGCTGGAGGCTGGCAGCTTGGTCCAAAACTCCCATCCCATTAAATGCAATGAAGCCGCTCCAAGACCCATCTCTAGCATCAAGTCCTGTAGTCTTGTGGAGCACTCGCCTTGCAAGCCAGAGGACCCGGGTTCAGTTTCCGGGCGGGATGAAACCTGAGGCATGTTTCCTTACTCCACACACCTCTTGTTTACCTCGCAGTAAATAGGAATCTGGTTGTTAGTCAATTCGCGGATCGCTTTCTGGGGGTTATACCTTAAAAAAAATTATAATTTGTTCACTCAATCCACAACTGTTTGTGGGGCACTACTGAGCGCAATTGACTGCCATGTTTCACCCACGAAATACACAATCACTACACTTTACAATATATACTGGGAAATGCTTGAGATGTCTCAATGACGTGATAAGATGCTATATCAAATGCAAGGATTATATTATTGCATTTTAGGATCACAGGATATATTAACACGATGCATCTTTCAGACTTTTTCACATATAGATAGGATAGATTTATATTTGCCTTATTGTGTTTGGCGAGTTCTTTGATTGGGAAGTACTTTATGTAGACTTTTCTTCCCCTGAAACAAGTTTTATCAATTCATGATGTGTAACAGAGTGGAAAATAATACACTTACGCCTATATTGATCACTAGCCAATGTCTCCAATAGCCGCTTGGAATATTCTGTCCAGCAGGAGCATCAGGGTCCACCATGATTAGCACATACATCATATTCCTCTAAAACAAACAGGATGTGACATCAGAGGAACTTACTTACACATGAAAAGGTCAGTGAATAAATTATAAAAATATAATAATCCTTGCATTTGATACAGCGCCTTATCATGTCTTCGAGATGTCTCAAAGCGCTTCACAGAATATACTGTAAATAGCTAGAAAAGGAGCTACTTTTAAGTAGGAATAATATTTATATAGTTAAGGAAATACACTTTTTAAACGATGATCTAAAATAGAAAATATTTATTATATTTTTGTGATACCTTACAAATTTGCACAAAGAAATATATTTTTTAAAATCCCCATTTCACTGTGAGGCCTGATACCTTGCACAGTACTGTATTTATGTCCGTATCTATGTGCTTGGTGTACAGTTTGTGTCTTGCTCTGATCAGTAACCTGAATCTCTTCACTACAATATTGAAATTCAATGCTGTGTCAAATCAACAGAAATAAAAAAAGTAGAATTTAAATTTAAAGCATATGTCAAAAAAGGCATGTTTCAAACTAGCAAGATGTCAACTTTTCCTTGCCTCGTCCCAATGATAAAATGCTCATCTTCTGAATAGGGCTCAATGCCAAACATTCCACTTGCCAACTTATCAACCTAAAAAGTGAGGGAGTCAGCTAATGTGCACATCAGCACACTCCTTCCTGCTCTGATTCTATCCACTTTTTCTCCATTTTCTCTGCTTCTTTATATCTCTCTCCGAAAAGCTCCACCTCGTTCATTCCCCTTGTGTCCACAGAGATTGGTTTTGTTTCTGTTCAAGGCTCTATCTCCTTCAGTTGAAGTTGCCGAGCGACAAGCAAATTCAAGCGAAAGAAAAAAGATAAATACAAGTAGTAAGAAGCCATCTTGATTTTGTTGATAGCGTTCAAAATAAAATGTCGTAATGGCATCCAGTAGAAGACACAGCCACAGTTGGAGTAATACATACATTTGAGGATCCCATTATAGGAAGAGTATAAAAGTAATAATAGTAATCTTTGCATTTGATATAGCGCCTTTTCATGTCTTCAAGATGTCTCAAACATGCGAGGAAGTAGGAACCTGGTTGTTAGTCGATTGGCAGATCGTTTTCTGGGGGTAATAAACCCTCAAAAAAAAATTGGTTACTCAATCCATGACTATTTGTGGGATATTGCTGTACACAATTGGCTGCCACATTTCGCCTACAAAATACAGAGTCACTCATATGTACAATATATTCTGTGAAGCGCTTTGAGACGTCTCAACAATCTGATAAGCGCTATATCAAATGCAAAGATTATTATTATCAAATGCTCTATTGGTGACTGTAACACACCTTTTCATTCTACCGAAAGGAATAAACTTTATGGGACGACACCATTCCTTTACAGAAAATGTGCCAAAGGAACAAATTAAAATGAAACATTCGGTAAAAGAGCACCCTCCAGTGGTGGAAATTACACTTGTATCAAATTGACATTTTGGGTGACTTTTTGCATGTTTATGAAGGTGAGGGATCAGTGCTGAGAAAAGCAAAGCATGAACATCATGGGAGCACATCCACAGCAATGATCTCCATTGCTTCTACTCTGCTCCCCGAATGTCTGTAGGCCAATATTGGGTGAGCCCAAAAGTACAAACATCTTATCTTTTTATCGCACCTTTCACAATAACAGCAACTTGCCTTCCACGCAGGGAAGCTCAGCGTGCTTACACGGAGCAAACACCTCAAAGTCATTGGTGGACTGTGGACAACAGATCTTTTGCACAACAGATCATTTTATGACTGGATTTGTACCAAACTCAGAGGAAAGGGCAAGAGGAATTTGTGCTGTGGATGCGCTCACATTATCAACTGGCCGGAGATGCTGCAAACCCAGTTCTCACACAAAATCCCAACTGATAGATTGGCAAAGAAAGTTCGGTACGGAAACAAGCCAATCAGCTCAATAAATCAGCATTTATAATCCATGAGTCTCCACCCGCTCCTTTACTCCTTTTCATACGCTTATATTCACTTCTCCCTCATAAGAAGGTCCAGCTTCTTCTTAAATGCACCTATACTACCTGATTTAACCATCGCTTCAGGCAGCAATTCCACACCTCTATTATGTCTCCTTTTAAACATCTCTCTGTTAATGGAAAAAGGCCTAACCTATGCAGTGCAGTCTATCCAGATATCAGTAACTGCCAGCCCACCAGGTTTATCCTACTAAACCCACGTTGTACTTATTCCATCTTGTAGTGTGGCAATCAGAATTGAACAGTTCATAGAATCTTACAGTTCAGAAGGAGGCCATTCGGCCCATCACGTGCCTGTGCCGACTCTTTGAAAGAGCTGTCCACCTAGTCCCACTCCCCCACTCTTACCCAATAGTCCTGCAAATGTTTCCTTTTCAAATACCTATCTAATTACCTTTTGAAAACTATTACTGAATCTGCTTCCACCACCCTTTCAGGCAGTCCATTCCAGACCGTAACAACTCTGAGTAAAAAAAAATCTCCTCATCTTCCCTCTGGTTGCTTTGCCAATTATCCTAAATCTGTGTCCTCTGGTTACTGACCCACCCGCCAGAGGAAACAGTTTCTCCCCAATCTACTCTATCAAAACCTCTTCTCCAAATGTGGTCCAACCTTAGGTTTTATACAAAAATACATCAACCTGATATGTATTTCTTTGCCAGTAGATTCCAGGAGTGACTAGATCATGTGATAAACCCGTCACCTTAATGCTTTCGCAGCATCTGACATTTGTGATTTTCATGTTAATTATCCTGTACTTGATCTCACATACCTAATAGAGTTATTTGACAGACCTATTGAGATGATAGAGAATGAGCAGCGATGGTATCAGTTATAGATTTTCAAAGTACATTTGATGAAGCGCCACATGTAATAAATAGATTAACAGCCAAAATTAAGGCAACAGCAACAACATGCATGTATATAGCACCTTTCACGCAGGGCAGCATCTTGGAGCACTTAACAAATGGCAGAGCCTGACGCCGAGCTGGGGGGAGTGAGAAGGTGACCGTAAGCATGGTCGAAGAGCAAGGTGTTCAGTCGTGATTTAAAAGAGGGGAAGGAGGGGGAAAGGCGGAGGGATTGAGGGGGAGAGTTTCAAAGCTTTGGGGCGAAGTGGATGAAAGCTCGCAGAATTGAAGGCAATTTCATCGCTAGGAAATTTACTGGAAAGCAGGAGGCAAAGAATTGGGAATAAAATGGACATTCTCTGAGTGGCAAGCAACCCCAGAGGTTGTGCTGTGGCTTAGGCTTTTTCCCTTTTAGCTGATATATAAATGACTCAAATATAGGAACAGAAGTGAGCAATTATAGCATATTCTGTGAAGCGCTTGGAGACATCTTGAAGATTTAAGGCATTATATCAAATGCAACAATTATTATTATTTCCAAATTTACTTATAACACTAAACTGGGAAGCGTCAAAAAAGTGTGAAAAGGATATCGGAACATTCCAAAGGTACTGGGACACATTAAGCACGTGAGTAACGATTCCCCAAGTTATTTAATAACAGCTGAAAAAACAACATTATACTACTGCAGGTTTCCTGTTAAATTTCACTTCTGATCAATTTAAATCAGGACTATCTTCCTGCTGATTGCACATATGATTTGTGCGACATGAAGTTTAACATTCTGTGGGCACAGCGTATTGTGTTAGAAAAACTTCACAGCCTAAATGATTTTACTGCCAGCAATCTGGTGAAACATATGATGAGTTGATCATTTGATACAAAACAGTGTTCGCTATGCCATTTTCTTGAGGACAGCGCTACGTAAAACTAAGACGCTCTACATGTGCAATGTTCACTATTAAAAGCAGTTTAAACAATTCAATTTGACTGTCCAGCCTGCTCCATGTTACCCACTACGCCACCACACTATCGGTGGTCATGCATTCAGCCTCTCTGCCCCTACCCTTTGGAACTCCATCCTACATTGCCTCTACCTCGCTCCCTCGTTTGCTCCCCATCTCAAGACCCTCCTCTTCGACTGCGCCATCAGTCATCCTCCTATCCCTACCCTCCCCGCCCTCCACCACCCCTGATCACAACCAAAAACAACCACAAAATTACACTTACTTTCACATTGGAAGTTCGTCCCAAGGTGCTGGACAGCCAAGAGCTATAATAATCCTTGCATTTGATATGGTGCCTGATCACGTCTCAACGAAACATCTCAACGAAATGTCTCAACAACGTGATAAGGCGCTATATCAAATACAAGGATTATTATTATTTCAAATACATGTCTCAGCTTAACAGTGTGGTGATTCAAAATGGCGTGTTTGTGTGCTGTTGGGGGTGGGGAGGAGGGAGATGGGGAGTCACTTCACCACATCCAGGCACATTATGAATTTTTTTAATTGAAATTCCATATTTGCTTCAAACTGGTGCCATTACAACTGTGTGCTGTCAATAGGAATTGAGACGTTCTGCAGCACACTGCGGTATTACTAACATTATTTAACATATCACTTTGGATTCAAAATCAGTACATTTTGCAGTTAATTGCAGAACAACTACAGAATGGTACAGAATGTAATCGTGGCTGCTTATCGCTTTCCAAATAGTAATTTATTCCCTGCTAAAACGTTAATTATGGAGGACACTTCCAATTAGGCACAAATTTATCAAATTAAGTCTCAAAGCTTCAAAAATACCACCTCTAATACGATTATACGACAAGAAGTTGTTCGGCAAATGGTTTCCATGAGAACATAAAATACTCGACGTGCCTCAGCTAATAAACCCAATTTCAGTGACTCGTCTCCATCTGGTTTCAAAATGGCTTTGGTTAAAGTTAGGAGACAAATCCTTGTCCAACAATCTGCTTCCTAATTCCAGGTCAAATTGATTGATCCTCAAATCAACCCAGCATTTTTTTAATATACTTCAGCTGCCTCATTACTGTAAAGTGATCATCTGTGAATAGTGCCCTAGATTCAAACAGAAATTACCTTTACAGTTACTGATCCAATCATAACAGCTGTAGAAACTTCAAA